GAAGGCAAAATGCCACAGTTGTTCATAAACATAGATATGAACATTTTCAGTAAGGGAGTTCCCAGCTGTAAACTCTGGCATTTCCCATGATGCATCTCACCTTCACAAAGCTCACTTTAATTTCTGGAAAGCAATAAAGAGAGAGAGATGAAGCCAATCAACCACAGAAAAGGAGATGAGAGGCAAGAGAATATATCTCCTGAGCTTGGAACAAAAAAGAACAAAAAGGATTTTTATTTTTTAAGGTTTAAATTTTCATCAGTCATTAAGATATTCTTAAAAGCTCAGTCCTCCAGAAAATGTTCTGTCTGCCAGGATTTAGGGACTAATGGAAGGACCTCCTGGCCTCATATGGCTCTTCAAACGACTGAGTTTCCAACAGTGATTTTGCCTTTGCACCAAGGTATGGTGTCTCCACAAGAATAGAATCTTCCCCTATTTAGAATCTTAGTTAAGGCAGCTCTTGAGGAATTAACTGACTCCCTCAGTCATTCATTTGCTCATTCTTACATTCACTTATGTACTAGATAAATTTATGGGTCACTTAGTCTGTGCTAGAGAAATAATGAGCTGAGGCTACAGTAGTGAACAAGGAAGACCTTGTCTATGCCAACAAGAGGCTCAATCAGCTCTCGGATGCTACAGTTTTGTCTAACGTGGCTGGGTGTAAAGAAGCTGAAAGTCAAAGACAGGTGATATAAATAAATATTTGACAAAGCAGTTGCCTTTTCTAACATTAAACTCTCCCCCATTGCCTTGTACCTCTCATCAGGAACTATGGTATATAATGCTTCCAGAGAACTCTAGAACTTTCTTTGTACTCAACTCCCCCAAAGTTTTGTCCATTGTATTGCTTCAGTAGGTTTATCTTTTTATTTTATTCTTTGCACCTGCATTGCCAAGCTGGCTTGTTAAATGTATTTGCAAAAGCAAGATCAATATGTGGAAAGAAGTTTTCCTGAAAGGCATAAAAATTATAATTTCAGATAGATTCTAGTGAGCATGTCCAGGTATTCCCTACAGAAATAATCCCTGGCAAGGCAGTTTTACTGAAGAACTTGAGACCCCCTTCTCATTAGAAAAGGAAGAATAATCTTCAATTATTAAGGAGCAAACATTTTTTTCTTGTCTATAAGAACAGGAAAGACTCCTTTATGAAAAAGTAACGTTTCATTTCTGCTCTGAATGAAAAAAAAAATCGTGGTTTTTATTTTTCCCACTATTGCCACCTGGTGGACAAAGGTGATTCCTTTAGACCTCACCGAGGAATATCTCTCAGTATCGCCACAAGATGTCAGCACACAACCAAGTTTGCAGAGCCAGGCTCAAAAAAATTCAGGGTTTTGATCCTCAAAAGAGAATGCTATATTCTAACAGAAAAGGATAAGCAACAAATACAAAATAAGCATTCCATTCTCTTTTCCTAAAGGCAAAAAAAACTTCCAATTCTTACGATCATGAGTATTTCACATATCAGTTCATTTATTGCAATAAGGAGGACTTTATAAAAAATTTAAGCCAGTTTGGTAAACTAAGCCAGTTTGCTTTTTGAAGATATTTCAAGCAAAGAGATATATTTTTATCTGAATTTTAGTGATATTTTCTTCACAGAGTAGAATATCTGGGCAATGTTTTTAAATCTTTATTTTAATGAGCTCTTGTTTAGTTGATTTGTTAAGAGGGTTTCTATTCCCTAAGGGACCCATTTGGGACATACAGGGTCTTACACATGCCCATGCCCGTGACTGGTTAGCCCAGGCACATTGCTGCTTTCTCCTGACCAAAATGCTGCCTGATCAATCTGCTTCCCTGTCACTTCAGTGTGCTGGCATCTCTCTGTTTTGTTCATATGTATTGCTGCAGAAGTGTTTAATATTTTCTGGACCTGCAGGGCCATGGCTTACTTGTTAAGATATATAACTTCATTTTTTCCACCAAAATGTCACTGATAGTCCCCTCCAGAAGGGATTTTACCACAACTCTGACAAGAACTCTTATTCACTGGACACTTACTGTATGTCTGGCAGCACTCTCAGTATGAAAATTAATATTTCTGTTAGCTATAACACAAATTTTTAACTAAACTCATTTTACAGATGATGAAACTGAAGCAGAGAGAGCAAAGTGATTTTCTAGCTTAGGCAGAACCATTGGTCTTCCTGCCTGCCTGCGACCCTGAACAACTGCTTGGAATTATTTCCAGAGGCCTGTGGGCCAGGGATGGAGTGGCAGAAATCAGGTGTTCTTTACGTGACGGTGGTCACATTAGGGGTCTAGGCCCCTTTGGGTGAAGAGCATCACACAGTGACCTTGAGGGGTCCTTATGAATTCTAAAGAATGACAAGCCAAAAGGCTTAACTGATGAAAGAGGGAAAGTTGCATTATGCACCGGAGCAGAACCCAACTCTCCCAGGTAGACACTGAATCATTTATGTGTCCCCGTGATAACCCTAGACTTATATAGGCTATACGGATATAGCCTTGCTGTATAAAAATACCAGAGGGGATTTGGGGGATAATGGGCAGAGTTCTGGCTGGAGAACCAAGAGCCCTGAATTTCAGTCTCAGTTCTGCCTCTCACTATGTGACCTTGAGTAACTGACTAGCCTCTCTGGGCCTCAGTTTCCTAGAATTTTGAGAAGTACATTCTCTGCAGGGCTTTTTCAACAGTTTTTACAGCAATTTGTTGATTTCAAATAAAAGTTGTCAGAGCAGGTATTATGGAAGAAAAGAAGTGGTAGTGTGTTTAATATACAGTTGAGCACCAGTTCTCACATGATCAGTGTGATCAGCCTGTAGAGACTGATGTTTTATATCTTAATAGAACCTTGCTTCACTTCGGGGATGAGAGTGACATCCATACTTGGTTTCTGCTAGGAGAGGAGCAGAATTCTTACTCCATCCTTCTGTATGGACTTCCATTACTTCTGCAAGTAGTGGACTAGCTCTTCAAGGACAGAAGGGCACCTGAAGGTCCCCAGCAGGTGTGATACCAAAGAACATTCACGCTGGGCTCCCCCAACCCCCAGCTGTCCTTAGATGTAGGCACAGTTTGCTGTTAAAAATCACCCTGCCTGACACTAGTTTTGCTAATGCTAAATTGTAGCCCAACGTTTTCAAGACTTCAGACACTAGGACAACTGTGTCCTTCTTATAGCCAACCTAAGGATGCCAGAAAACAGCACACTGTTTGAGGGCTTCTCCTTGTGACATCCTTTGGATGGGCAAATGGAAAGTCTGCCAGAAAGAGGGATTGATAAATTGCATTGAACCTCAGAAACTTTGCAGACCTGATTCTGAAGATCTGACCTTTTTGTGTCAATCAGAACGTAAAGAATTTAGTACTCAGATTCTGTGTGGCTTAACAGAGTTTCAGATCCTCTGTTGCAAGGATGCTTGGCATATTTTATTTGTCTCATGTTTCAGTGAACTAGATCTTCTGTTTGGCCCACTGTCCATTCAGAGTGCCTTCATGCACTGGCTGTGCTAAAGCAGAGAACAGCAACAGACACCGCTCCTGCTTCCACAGGACTCACGTCCAGGAGTAAAGACCAGCATTAATCAAAACCTTAGACAAATGTGTTTAAGATTGTTGTGAAGGAGAGCAGAGCATATAATAAAGGGACTTAATTTTACTAAGGAGGCTAAGGAAAACTTCCCTGTGGAAGGTATAACTGAATTCTGAAGGATGAGTGGGGTTTTGACAAGAGATATCATTGGGCCTACAACAAAGATGTAATACCATGGACAGACAATAAAGAAGGCTGTGGGCTGGAATGCAGAGATGATGTACATTGATGAGGTTGGAGGTGTGAGGAGGTAGGGCCACAGACGCCAGGCCGAGGATTTTGGCCTTTATCCTGGAAGCCACAAGACAGCATGAACAAGTTTCACATAGGACAGTGAGGTGATTAACTACCCAGTTCAAAAGGCTCGCTCTGGCTTCAGAGTCCAGTCACTTTACTTCCTTAATAAAAGCATGTTATCGGGACTGCAAGGCTGTGTACTGATCTTCACAGAGAAGAAAATCTGCATCCCACAGCCATTGTTTGGGCTCCTCTATCTGACCAACCATTAAATTTGTCCTGATATTCAAAGTGGTATCTTGTGGAAATTTTCCACGTTTACTTCTAAAGATCTAAGAATATTGTGGTTTACCTGATGAGGATACTTAAAATGAAATCCCAGTATTTGTCCTGCCTGAGCTTGTACATTCAACAAATATTTATTGAATTCCTACTGCATGCCAGGCTCTAAACCTAGGCATGAGGAATACAGTTGACAAGACGTACACTGGTATTGCTCTCATGGAGCATATATTCTAATGGAGCAGATAGATTCTAAACAAGCAAATAGGAAGTGCAGAACAGGATGTCAGGTAGTGGTAAGTGCTATTCATATTAGTAAGTTAGGGTGAAGGAAGAGAAGGTAACAGAGGGTACAATTTCTGATGAGGTGATCCCAGGAGTCCTTTTTGAGTTAATGCCATTTCAGCAGAAATCCGAATGAAGTGACTGGATGGGCCATGCAACAACCTGGGGGAAGAACGTTCCAGGCAGATGAACAACAAATGCAAAGGTTTTAAGGTTGGAATAGATTTGGCATATTAGAATAAAAACAAGAAAGTCAATTGGCTGGAGTGGAGCAAACCAGGGGCAAATGGCAGGATGGGGTTGAGGGCCAGACACATCCATTATTCCATTAAAGTGCAGTCCATGGGTTGCTCAGAGGTCTTGCACTTGTCTACACACATGACATGGAATATCAAGTATTTGTAGCTGCAAATTGCTTTCTCCACTTCCACCTGCACAGCGTTTGTTCCCACAAAGCAATTTCTTTCCATGTGCCTTTCCCACCCATATGTGTTCCTGTTAGAATGTCCTCTCCCCCTTTTCTCTTAGTCTCCTTCCAGTGGAGAGTACCAGACTACCTTTGTGCTTATTTTAAACTGACAAAGAATTTTTTATCTGTTTTTGTTTTGCTAAATGTTTCTTTTTTAGAAATTGGCACCACCGTGCACTTCAAGCAAAAAGGTATGGTTCTTTTTTCTGATTACCTCTATATGTTAAAACTAAGATTTCACAGCATTATACTGGAATCATATACACTTGAGCTTATTTCATCTCAGTAATTTGTGATAATAATTTTCATAACACATTTGCCACTGTTTTTCCCAGATTGTGGACTTCCTAATTCACAAAAAAAACCCATTTGATCCAACCTAGGACCCTTATATTGCTTGTGACAGTTATGCATTTCTAACTCATTGGAAATGAGCAAGTTATCCCCCCTCTCACTTTCCTTAAGTGTCCATGGTTAGTTCTTGCAGAACTGCACTTTTGGAAATGTTCACTGCCCAATGACAGGACTCTCAGAAGAGACAGAGTCCACTTTCCTGTCCCTGGCTGGCTATTCAAGCAGATGCATTGCTGAAGGAAGTAGAGCAGGGTCTCCTAAAATGAAGCACTTTAGCGTTTAATATTCCCTCCAGCCTCAGCATACTCCTAGGTCTTCATCTAACCTCCCCCTGCTGCAATACACCTGGTCTACGGGGCTCACCCAGGAGTTGCCCCTGTGTGCTCTCCAACTGCCCCTCATGTCTCCATCACATGATGGATCCACATACTTTTCTCTACAAAGACAAATCAATCAGGTCAAAGCCTCATGAAATGGACCCTAAGACATTTCTTATAACTACCAATTCTACGGTGCCCTCTTTCCAAGTCCAACAGAAATCCCTAACAGTGCCTGTCCCCAGACTAGATCTACAGGGAAACCTGCGTGGCTGGGCACCACCCTGCTTAAGTCCTCTGGCCTCTGACTTAGACTGGTAATTGTCTCCTATGAAGATGTCATCTTCTCTGAGCCTTAAAGGGGATAAGACAACCATCATTCTCAATAATAAAAACCTATTCTTGTGGGACTTAGACCCTACCAGTGACCAAGAGCCACAGAGATTATGGACACTTCATTGCTTACTCCCAGGAGAGGGCCAACACCTTGTTTATGGCCAGTTCTAGCAAATCCTCACTGAAGGCTGCAAGAAGAGGCAATCAGGAACATATATAAAGGGCCAAGATCATTTTGGGAAAAAGGGTATAAAACACTGTCCTCCTAAGCCCCTCGTCTCTCCCCACTGCCATGATTATCAATTACATTTGCATCTTAAGTGGATCATGTTAGTGGAACGTAAGATAGATACCTCAGGGCTTTGGTGTGAATGTAGAAATAGGGGATAGGGTTGTCTTTTCTTGTTTAATTTAAAAGACCATCAAGATAAATTCCTAGTGACCCCTGAAAGAATTCTAAGTACTGGCCTAAAATTTCATAATTTTCCATGCCAAAATATTCAGTGCTCTTTTGATAGAAAATATGTGATAATTCCAGCTTTACTGTGGGAATATTTCAGCCTTACCCAAAACCACCCACGTTATAGAGAGGGGAGGTAATGCATTAACAGTTATGTAGGAGGAGCCCAAATTTAATTTTGAAGACACATTGCTCAAAGAAAACATCGATATATCCCCTCTTCTAATCTGCTCCAACCTGGAGATTACAGGCTCTAATCCCCATTCATTCACCCAGAGGAAGTTGTACTGACTGAAAGTGGGTAGCAGGTGGCGCCAGAGTCAATCACAATAGGCTTCCCTTTAAACATGGCTTCCCAGGACAGAGAGCCTTCACCTATGCATCTAGCTCGTATCAAAGAGAGATCTAGATTAATTTTCTCCTTCACTTAACAATTCCTTTGTATATTGTTTAGGCTCTTGTTTTATTTTCAGTCACTCAGTCAGCCCTAAATAATTCTAAGAAGAATTCAAACTTACTCTGGCCTCCCTTTTCTTGTAGGATTGAACTATTCACAGAAATAAAACTATGATTGACCTCAATTCCTCAGTGGCTAAAAGGGGTGCCCAAATATCACTGAGGGTGTGATTAATGATTATTTTGCATACATATCACCTTGTGCTTTCTTTAGATTTTACTGAAAGACAAATCAATTGGCTCAGTATCCTGTGTCAGATTTGTAGTATAGAGACCTACTAAAAAATTGTCAAATCCTGCAATTTCAGGATGTTCTACCATCTTGCCCTTAACCACAAATTCCCTTTTATAAGAATTGTCATTGCAAAGTGCAGGTAGCTTATCTTCCTGTCCTGGAGTTGAAAACCTTGATCTGGTATGTTGACTCAAGAATCCCAAACTTGCTGCAGCTGAATTTGCTTGTTTGGGTCAAATATTGAAAGCCTTGATCCAATTCACAGACCAATGCCTTTGATTCCAGAGTATTTCATGCTTTTCTGTTATACCTTCCATAGTTAATAATGATGATGCTACCATTTATCAAATGTTTATTAGATATCACACATATAAATGTGTGCACACCCACATATACACATAAAGAATGTGGCTAAATACCAAGGGACAGTTTTTGTCTGTTATATGAAAAACATGTAGTGGTTTTTGAATTGTGGTTCTATTTCCCCATCTATTCTTAAGGCTAATTTATGTTTGCAGACTCTTGCTTTCATTATATCTGTCAGTGTATAAAAGCACTTGCTGAGCCTGGCCATCTGGTGTGGGAAATAAGATTTATGATTTGCATTTCCACAAATAAGCAGAAATTCCATAACTATGAACTACAACATAATTAATTATTTTGTTGATTATTCCTCCCTGAAATAGCCATTAACTGAAGTAATCTCCTATGCAGTCATATACATCTGTAATTGCATACACACTTGTGATGATTCCCCAACTTCACCCATTTATTCTTGGAGTTTCTCAAGCCTATTTATTTACTACTCTCAAAATCAATTATGAAAAGAGCAAGTCATATAAGCACATCAAATAGCTATATGAGAGCACTTAACAAATAATAATTGATGGAGATGAAGATACCTTTAACAGTTCCACAAAATACATTTCAATATGTAATAATTCTACTAAGGATAAAATTGAAGATTATTACCACAGTCATACTGGGATTTCCTATATATAATTTTGAATTTCATGTGAAAGTAATAGTTAATACTCAATTATGTATATTAAAAGACAAATATGTGTGTATATCACATGTCTGTGAACATGCCTTTAACATAAATATACTTCACTTTGTATCTGAATATGTATGTTTGTACATACATTAGCAAGTGTTATATATAAACAAGTTTATCTAGATCCAAATATGTATATATTATATTTTTCAATGATGGAATTTTTTAAAATTAAGTTATCAATGATATATAATCTTTTGAAGGTTTCACATGAACAACATTGTGGTTACTACATTCACCCATATTATCAAGGCCCAAACACCCCATTGCAGTCACTGTCCATCAGCGTAGTAAGACGCCAGAGTTTCTACTTGTCCTCTCTGTGCTACTCTGTCTTCCCCATGACCCCACACACACCATGTGTGCCGATCATAATACCCCTCAATCCCCTTCTCCCTCCTTTCCCGCCCACCCTCCCCAACCCCTCCCCTTTGGGAACCACTGGTCCCTTCTGGGAGCCTGTGAGTCTGCTGCTGTTTTGTTCCTTCCATTTTGCTTGGGAATTTTTGCTTTCTGAAATAGTTACTATCCCTCAAATAAAATATAAGACTAGGTTTTGTAGACTTCCCTGAATACTACTCAACTCTAAGATGTCTGAAAGATAATCTAGACTATCCCCACACTAAAAATGAGATTAAGGAAATACGCAGAATTAGACTCTTTCTGAAAATCTTCTGTTTCATACTGTCCCCAGGGCAAAACAAAAATCGTATTTGTTAACCCTGTGTGGCCTCAATTTGTGTACAGTTTTTCTCTGTTTTGGAAGCTTCAGTGACCCACTAATCCAAACAAATGTGCCACAGAGTTCATGCCATCGAAAGCATAGAGGAACTAAAATGGTAGACAGATCATTGCCATCAGGCCAGAGGCCCTGGGGAGTTGCCATTAAGAAAGCTTAAGATCCCAAAAGCCAAAAAGAGTGAGGGTGGGGGCCTAGAGTGGGTGGATTAGGAAAGACACTGTGCTAAGATTCAGAACACCTGGATTCCAGGGCTTAGTCAGCAACTAGCCATCAGTTGCTTTATGCAGGACACATAATCTTCTTGAAACTTAATTCCTCATGAAGGCAGGAACCTGAAGTAGCTAAACTGCCTTTCATTAATATGGTTCTACAGCCACTCAGAAAATTAAAGAATTGACCGATTGAATATTTAAATTGTTCTGTATTTCCATAGCTTTATAGATAATAAAGCTCATTTTATACTGTAATGATGCTGTTCACAATGTGTGTATATTCATATTTTTATATTAAGTAATATATTTACTATTTTCAAGGCATTCTAGTCATTCTGTTGAATCATATTATCAATATATTCTGTTGAAAATCATTTTTTCAAAGAAAACAGATACCACTCACATTGTTTTATCTGTTCTGCCTATTGTTTTAAACAAACCCAAACTGAGACTCACCGGCACCCCTTCCCCATGTAACTTCACTGGGCTGTGTTGAGCGGCAAAGATTCTGGAGCCAGCTGCCTGGGTGAAAAACCCAGCTCCTTGCTTACCAGTTGTGTGAATTTATGCAATGGATGTAACCTCTGTGTAACTCTGTGATCTCGCTGCAAAACAGGGTTCGTTGTAGTACTGCTTCATAGTCTGCTTGTGTGCTCGTATTTCTGAAGTGTTCATAACAGTACCTTGCAGTAAGTGCTATGTAAATGTTGGTGTTTTTTGGTTATTATTGCTATTATTATTTACATAAAACGTAGATTGGAGGAACATTATTGAATTCCACATTTTCCCTGTTATTTTACCTCTGATCTAGTATGTTTGTAGACAATTTTTTGGAAACATTCACATACCAGAAAATGTTTCCATTGTATTTGCAAACCATCATAGGTTTAACCACACACACACACACACACACACTCATTCACACACACTAAACTGCATATGTGCCCTCAAAACCTCAAAGTGACCCATAATTACAGTCACACCAATTTCTCTTTTGAATGTCATTGTCTTATCATGCAATCTTAAATCTGAAAGTTTTTATTGTGAAAAATACTAGTATTTTCTTCTTTTAATGGATCAGAACTTTCCAAAAGGAGAAAATAGAACAAAGCATAGGAGACAAGCTCTTCAGAGCGACATTTTCTGCCCTGTTCCTCCTCTTTATGTCAACACCTGAATCCCTTCTCCACTTTCCTCTCCGTTCCAATCTCCCTCCTGGGTCCACACCCACATCCCCCAAACTGTGTCCATTCGGAAAGCTAGGGTGGCTGTGGCACACTGCGACACAAAGACTACCCTCCAGGCTGAATTCTGGGTAAGTTCAAGTCTCCGCTCTGCTTCTGGTTTGGACCTGCCTCTTAACCTCCCATGTTTGTTTTCGTTGATGTCCTTGTTTTCGATATTTTGAAGTGTCAAATGAAGAGTTCGGACCAGAGCTTGGAGCCTCTTAAGGCTCTACAATGAGTTGACATTTTCTTCTGCGGTGCCACTCAGGCATAAGTGTTAGTTTTGAAACAATTCCCCTCCCCATTAACAAATAAATAATTACTGCTTCCCCCGTGGAAACCAGAGTCACAGATTGGTTCCATGTTTTATTGCTGGAGAAGCTGTGATGAATCTGCCAGGGAGCCCACGTGTGGCTGCAGAAGGCCCCTCCCCAGGGCCCGGAATCTTGCTGAATGCCGTTATCACCGGGCTGTGCCGTGCAGAGCATCCTGGAGGAGGCTGGGTGTTGGGGGGCCGCTGTACCCTCAGACACATCAGTGACAACCCATTCTGGGCCTTCTCCGGTGAGAGTGTTTTGTATTTAGAAGAGTTTCAACCAATGATAGCCCTTAAGATACTTTTGACTAAAGGAGAAAGACTTAGGAACGCTTGTGAACCTTTCTTGGGCTGTACATAAGCCCATGGACTTTGAGGCACTGGGACCCAGCCCTGCCTTGCCTCTGGTACCGCCAGCAGTCAGCCCTGACATAGAGTGGGCCGGATGTAACTCTGCTCTTTTCTCTCCCTCTCTTTTGCACTGCAGGACCTGGGTCGGTGAGAGGAATAAATGGATCCATCAGTCTGGCCGTACCACTGTGGCTGCTGGCAGCATCTCTACTCTGCCTTCTCAGCAAATGTTAATAGAATAAAAATTTAAAAATAATTTTAAAAAACACACAAAAATGCGTCACACAGGATACAGAGAGAGAGCCAGCAAGATGGGGGGAGACCGTTTATTTCACAACTTTGTGTGTTTATAAATGAAGGGGAAACTAAGAAAACGAAGAAGCAAATACAACATTTAAAACAATTCTGAAGTCCATCAATTCAAATCTGAGTATAATTCAGGGCGGGAAAAGTTCTGCCAGGATACATGTCTATCTAAGCAAACGTATGCTGTCTAAAGACTCCATCATGCTAAGAATGTCCAGATGTTGTAAAAATAAGACAAGTGAAGAAGTCCAAGATGGATATTAACCCACACACACACTTTATCCTTCCTTCATCCTTTTCATCTGTGGGGGAAGAAAAAAATAAGGTCTTGCCTTTGGCGTTTCTATTTCCATCATCTCTTTATTCTGTTGTTCATTTGAGCTGACTCATAGCCATTTCAGACTCTTGGTGGAATCCACGCTGGAGTCCTGTGTTGAGCCTTTATCTGGCTTCCCTGCCTCCATGATCTCTCTAGCTTTTAAGGCCATCTCCAAGGCCTCCAGTGTGTTCTATCTCCCTCACATCCATCCCAGATACTCCCTTTTTATCCTTACCACCTATCCCAACCTCCATCGCTTTTCACTCCCACCACCCCTGCCACCCCTGAGCACTAGCCATGCCACAAACGCTAGGAAGTGCCATTTTAATTTTCTCCACTGTGCACGCGTGCTCAAGTCTCGCTCTCACGTGGGTATACATGTGTGTGAGTGTGTGTGTCTCTCTCTAAAGCATGCCAAGGAAATGGTCCATGTGTACATAGATTCATTGTGCTATAGATACTGTCCCCCATTGTAATTGTGAGATGCGGCCGTGACAAGTTGCTGGGGGACATGGTGGGGAAGGAGGCAAGGAGCAGTCCTTCCCCCTGTCCATGGTCGTCACATGACATCAGTGTGTATTCAAACCACTGTGCCCCTCCTAAGGGCAGAACCTCATATTTCTCCTAGTCCAATCATCAGAACCCAGTCAAGAGTCACTCAGAATATCACTGTAAATGAAAGTGCCTACTACTGATAGGGTGAGCATAAAGCAGAAAAGATCAGTGACGGGACGCAGTGACCTAGGAGAAGTTTCTGATTTCACTCTTATTTTATGGGTCTGTATTTCCTGGCTTTGTGCAGGCTTGTCCCTGCTCTGCTGTAGGAGTGAGTAGCATGTGTTGAGTAAATCCTCAGAAACAGGAAGATCTCCAAGGGTTAACCTCAATGACAGGATGGGAGCCACCTGGAGATCCTACGCAGCCCTGTTTTGCCCCTCCCTAATCTTCACGTAACACTGTATTTGCCCCATGGATTCCCCTGAGCAGAGATTGCTTCCTGTTTCAGATAAAATACAGAGAGTGAACAAAGCAGGGAAAGTAGACAGATGCCCAGGTCCCTACTCAAAAGGTAAAGATACTGTCAGAGCTCTAATACAAAGCATTGACCACAACAATAAGGTATCTGCTCCTCATGCTCCTTTGCAGATTTTTGCCCTGGTGTTCTAGGCTAAGACTTCATTTGGTTGGCTGCATTATTTCCCTTCTGTCCTACTGATGGTGTTTACAGCACCACTGTTCATAGTACCCCATCATTATCCTAGACTCGGCCTTGAGGAATGGTATTATGTTCCCCCTTCCCGGCTCACTTCTGGCTTCTAGTCTCCTGAAAAAGATACCATGGTGTTCAAAGTCTACAAATACAAGAGTCATCTTGCCATTAACACTGAAACGTAAGTTAGTCCCTTAACCAAAACAGCTGGGAAACTTGTTATAATTTAGGCAGGAATTGTAGGCATACCCCAAAGCTTGGCATCGCCACAACACCAAAAGGATCTTCTTAGGCTTTGCAGAGAGAGCTGGCTTTCTGTGTGTAGGTGTCTTTGTCAGGAAACCAACCATTATCATCACTTAGACTGTAGGAGGCATTGGAAGTGGCTCAGTGTGTGAAAAGATGGAGGATTATTATTGAGGTCATAATCGAGTGTCTTTCAGTAGAGCCGAATATGGTACCTCACCAAATTTTGGAATCAGGAAAATAGCCGTCATGTGATATCAAAAAGAAAACTTCATAACTGCAAATCAAAAGAGGAAGACAGGAATGGAGGGAGGGAGAGAAGGAATAGAAAGAAAGGGAGAGAGAAAGAAGAAAGAAGGAAGGAAGGAAGAAAAGGGAATGAAGATCTGAAATTTCTCTTGATGTTATTAATTGAAGGCTCTTGGCAATGAGTCTTGCCTCTGAAGGTAGTAATCTTGAGCAGCATTTTTAACCTCTTCTAAGGGATTGTATTTGTTTTAGAAGCTTGTCACTAGCCTTCTTTTATGATTTTGCAGTTTAGACATAAAATAGAAGGACAAATTGGGTTTGGGTAAGAGTATTTGTGGCAGATCCTAGCATAGGACAGAAATTGTTATCCAAGAAGGTAGCTACTAAAAATATAGGGAAGGTAAGCTATATCCCTATGTAGCATCAATTTTGACAATCAAGTGTTTCTCTTAACAGTTTGGTCTTCTTAGTACAGGAATAAAAGTTTATCATCCTTGATGATAAATGTTCCCCATATATCAAAGAGCCAACATCCTTAAGTGAAAGCTTTGGAGAAAATGAATGCTAGTTTAAGATATGTAATAAGTTAAAAGCAACAAGAGTTTATTCAGTTTCCTATCAGCTTCAGGAACAGACCCCCATGGCATGTCACAGATTTAATCACACACCTAGATTTCTTACTATCCCCAACCTATTATAATGATAAGGTCTTGGTTTTATGGAAAGAGATTCTCCATTGAATGGAATGTGTTTGCCATGTCAGCACCGTTTGTTCCCTGAGTTTTAATATAATGGACCGTATATTAAACATAATTAAACATATACTGAATATTGTGTTGTTTGCATATATCTCTGGCAGAATCTGGGAATTTAAAAAATTTGTCCTGGCTCCTGTTTCAGAGCAAGCTGACTCCCAAAATCTCGTAAGTTTGAGTATATAAGGAATCTGAAGAGTAAAGAACATAGTTTGGAGAAAGGTTAGGGAAAAAGCAGAAAAAAGAGCTCGAGGACTGACACTTAGAGACTGAATCTGACAATGGGACTTCTTAGAATTTAGTTCATCATAGTGCTATAAATGCCTTCAAGAATCTTGTCCATTGGTAATCAAAGCTTGAAACCCCACATGGAAAAGAACTAATTGGTTACAAACAGTACATTCAGAGGAGTGACATGCATCAATTAATCTCAATGGCTGATAAATTTAATGTGCTCTGTATGTACAATGAAACTCTACCATTCATGAAACAAAATCCTTAAACCCTCCTTTCAAAGCAGAAAGGACCTTGACAGGGGCACTTCCTGAACAATGAGAACTATGCTAGGTTTTGCAACTGCAGAATTATCTCCTCTGTGCAGTTGTTCACCAGAAGGTTTTGCCTTGCTGGGGGAACAGTCTTACTCCCGCTGCCCTCAAAGAACTAAGGGTTAGGGAAAAATTGTGTTTTCTTTTGGGAAGACTTGTCCGATTGCCTTTGCCTTCTCTTCTGATTCAAATAGACTTCTCCCTGGCCATGGTCATTTTTTTACTACATATTCAGTCAACTGGGGCTATTCATAGAGACCTTGTAAAAGTACTCGTGATTTTCATGTTCTTGGAGGACAGAAACAAAAATCTGTTTCTCCTCCAAAATGGACTTACCTCCTTTGCACACAAAAACTAAACTTCTCAGCATGAAATTGTTTCTAAGTTATTATCTACTAAGTAGTTAGCTTCTTAATGACTCCAGAATTACAGATTCCATCCCCAGGTTGGTTGTAGTTTAACTGTTTCTACTCACTGTCTCCCAGAGTTCCTCATTTGTTTTTTTTTCAGGCCTTGAATTATTTGATGAAAAAAATAATATATATCTATGTATTTTTTTTAATCTTATCTTTACAGATGCTATATTTACAATATTGTATGTATTATAAGACAAATCTAGGATGAGTGCTGAAATTGGTTTAAAAAAAGAGCAATGCTTCATTTAGAATGACATGAAGCCCCACTTTTTCCCACTTTGTAATTATTTGTTTAAAAGGAATATTTTATGGACCATGTTCCATGTGCTTAACAATGGCCTTATTTTTCTCATCTTCATAACCCTTTAGACAGGATTTAGTCTTGGTTCCCAAAAACTATCATTGTTTTTAAGAAATATAAGTGCAGTACTATATTTGATCTATACAAACTATTAATATTTTGAAGACAAATGTTAAACATACCATAAAAATGGTGAGATAAAACCTTGAGTTGAGAAATGCAAACCCAGTTTAGGAGGCCTCCTTCTTTCTTTAGTATTTAAAATATTTCCCCTCCAAAGATTGCATTTGCCCCAGTAATGTAAATTTTCCATCACGGTTGGCATAAAATCTGTAAACAAGGCACTAAATGCAAAATGGACTTTGCGTTTATGTGCACACTAGTGCAGGAGGAGTGAACTGTCCTCATTTGCATGAGCTGTGTTGTCAAATGTAGCCAGCTAAAATTCACAAAAGAATTTCTTTTCACCCAGCAATATAATATCACTTCCCTCTTGGCAAAGAAACTAGTGTTAACATTAGGTTTAGGTTTAACATTTACACCAATGCAAATGTTTATGGATATTATGGAAAACTTATTTTAAAATCTTGATTTCCTTTCAGTGCATTTACATACTGTGTGCTGATTAATAAATTAGGCACCAATCATGTGTAAATCAATGTAAATCACTAGTTTATGTACATAATATAAACTATGTAAACTTCATTTTTCATGCAGGGCCCAAGTTCAGCTAAATCTATGGATCTTAGAAAAAACAATCAGATAAGAATTTTAAAAAACCAGAGCATTTCACAGGTAAGAATGGGAAGAAAAATGACCAGTTTCTCTAACATGATGTTGCCTCAGCAAAAGAAAGCAGATCCACGGGAACTGTTAAGAGTTCATATCCTACTCCCATCACAGGAGGCCCCTCCTGGTTACTTCAGAACCCAAGTGGACTTTCTCCCAGTGTGGCCAGTTTTCTCACCTGACCCCAAAGCAAGAGAGGTGAAGACAGGGACAAAGGAGTTCTAAGGGCTCACATATCTTTGCATCACTTCCTGAGTATCTTCTTGTTACCTTCTTACCATCTAAGACATCTTATTTAAATAGCTTTCAAAAACTCACCTACACCTTGATGAGCAACAAACACATCACCGTTTTTATTTTACATCCAACAAAGACATAGGAAAGCCTCTTTGTCATTTTGATCCTTGAAAATTGTGGGGTATAAAAAATGTGTTATATTCGTGACAAATATCTTGCTAAGTCACTGTAGGAAATAACTACTTTCACTTAATCTGGTAGACCATTATTTCTACAAATCTATCCTGAATATTGCAAATAAGGACAGAATTATCTTACCTGGAAATATCTTTCTCAGGCACGTTCTCTTGGAGTCTTTTTGAAATATCTGATGTGTTTAACAGAATGACATAGGTTTTCTACAATCTAAACAATGGGTACATGAATAGTCATCAAAGAGATGACTTCAGGGACCACCTGAGGTTTCTGCAAGGACAGTTACAGAAAGAAATGTAGTTCAAATTAACATTATGGTTAATGTACACTCCTCTACCCAAGGAAAATGATGACTTTAAAATGAAGTGGAAAGTGTACTAGATTGGGAATCGGGAGAATTGGGGTCTAGTCCTGGGTCTGCCCTTAAAAAGTATATGACCTTCAGTGACTCATTTAACCTTCCTGAGTCTTGTATTTCTAATCTTGGGAGGGAAATTTGGTTAACATTTCTAAAACATCTGTCAACTCTAAACCCTGGTTCTGAGAGAGAATTTAAGCATTCCAAGCAGCTGTTTTCATCACTAGTGTGGTCTCTGTACAATCTTCACTTCTCAGAACCATCATTCAGTCATCTCCATTTCAAAAGCCAAAACTTTCTAGAATACAGGGTCCCTGGACTGGTTCTCTAATTCTCTTCTGATCAAAACTTCTTAGCAATGTAAAGAAGGGATACAATCAGATTATACTGAGGGCATTGAAACAGCTGGAGCTGCTTCCTTATTTATAATATTACAAAATCTGACTTGAACTGTATTCTAATAACCTTTCAGAGGAAGGAAAATGGCCAGATCGGGTGTTATGCATGTAGCAAGTGAGAAAGTTATGCAAAGGAAATAGAAATCTGCTTTCTCTCATCCTGGGTCGAAGGCCTCACTGTGGTTGATGTATGTCCTTGAAGGCTCTTTGCTTGTGGGATGGCAGTAAACATGTGGTCCCAGGCATTTTTAAAGGCTGCTCTGGGAGACACTGGTGAGATAATGTATTTTGTTTTGGAAGGAATTTCTCATGGCTTAAGTTTCCCCCAACTTGACCTCTAAGTTATAACTTCAAGCAAAAGAAACCTCATTTGCAAAAAGTACAAGAGAAGTTGAAAATAGAACAAGAACAGATTTCAGGAGCTGAATGTGGCAAGCTGTGAATGCCAAAGTCAAATGTGAAAGTTAAGTTTTCTGAGGGGAGGCTAAACAGAAAGGATGGCTTCTCAGGCAGTTCATGAAGAAGTACTCTTATGGCGTGCACTGGATGGACTGAGCACAGGCCCACTTGTCTTAACCCATCCACATTATCTGAGAGCCTCCGCTTGGCAGCTCTCTGTAAGGGGGGAATGCCCTGCCCAGAGGACAAGTCCCATTTCCATGGTGGGCTCAGAGGTGCCCCTTTTTGAGTGGTGCTCCAGAACCTACTCCTACAGCTCCACCCCTCTCTGTAAAGCCAGGCACAGAGTAAAAAAACCTGCTTCTCGCAAATTAACAAAACATACGTAACTACTAGCTTCATGGCACGTGGCAGTAATTCTAAACTATCTGAAGCCTTTTGTGAACCCACTCTCCTAAGTCTTTGCTCTTCACCAGAGTCTGTAAATGGTTCATCTGGTGAATTACGGCCAAATCCTGCTCCCTCAGTATTTACTGAGAGTGGGAGGAGGTTAAAAGGAGGAAATTACAGGGGGGAGAAGCATAGGGGAAAACCTCCAACTTCCTTCCCCCTCTCTGCTTCACCCCTTCCTTCGTACTGCTCTACTGAACGGTGTATAAATCCTGCTCTTGGTTAGAATTCTCCTTATTAACAGTGTTATATACATATAAATAAATATATATATATATATATAAATATATTCCTTTTTTCAGCCCCGTAGACATAAACAGAACTTTCCTTAATGATGACAGACACATGGCCATGTTTTGTTTGGGTTTTTTGTTGTTCAAGGTTTTTAATTTTTGTTTACTGGGTGGATTTTTTTTTCCCTGGATACTAGCTCTGTGAAGGAAAATAAAAAGCGCAGTGTGTGTAAAAAAAAAAAATCAAAATTAAAAAAAGCTTTTCTCCTTTTCTTTATAAATGTATTTAAATTCTGTTTCTCTCTTCTGTTACTTTACACGTATGAATGCTCTGCTCTTCTGTGATCTTAAAACAAAATGAAATAAACATGAAAAGGAGATGTGTCTTCACTGACCTGAGTCAGTGATCTTGTGTTGACTGCACTACTTATTGGAGGTTTTCGTGAACAAGATAGGA